AAAAGTGATCTTGTGCTTAAAAAGATTGGAGACCACTGATCTAAACCAATGTGTGCTTGGATTGAAAAATTTGAACCTCCATTTGAGATAACAAGATTTGTGTGTAATTAAATGATGGCCTTTTTATGAGCTTGTACTTCACCAAAGGAAAGAGATGGGCAGTACAAGATGCACATTTCTGGGGACAAGTCTGGGACTGAGAATTTGCTGGTGTCACTCTGAAATACAATTCAGGAGTAGTTGGCTAAAAGTACTAATATAATTCAGCTGGGAATGATTTTTGCAGGCTAGAGGTTGTGTGTAAACAGACTGGGAGTGGTTGTTCTCGCAGCGAAGTGCTGTTAAATGCACTCCATTTGCAGAGTTGAGGGGACACAGCTGTCCAACAATCCAAGTAGTACCCTATGGAATGTCACAAAGGTACCATTTGAAGATTCATAACTTGCTGATCATTATTGTCCTGGCAAAATAGGTGTGGCAACATTGTATGTGAAGTTATAAGATTCTACTGTATAATGTTATTAAGAGGGAAGCAGCCACAAACCAGTTCCTTGAAGACAAAAGGCAAACTGATCCCTCAGCCAGGTGTCAACGAAATCAAACGGACCATCACATGGTTAAGTGGGCAATTATTTAGCAGGAAAAAGGGTATAAGCGAGAAATTTACATCTTGGCAAAGAAACAGCTGGAGGTTCCCATCCCCACAGACTTTCTGTCTCCTGACCCTTGGAGATGGTTCTCAAAGAGAAGAAAAGGTACAAGAATGAGGGGAATGGATGCCCCAAATATTTCTCCTTTTCTCTCTACCCACAACACTGGAGGAACAAAGAAACAGCTTTGGACTGAGGGAGGGATCCTGCCTCACAAGAGTTCAGCCAGTAAGACTGCTGAAGCATGTGGTGAGAGAGTCTTTTTGCTTTGAATTCACGTAGCTTGTTAAATTCAGAATTATTTGTGTTTTTACGTTTTATTTCTTTGTAACCAATTCTGACATTTATGCCTCATTACTTGTAATCACTTAAAATTTATCTTTCCATAGTTAGTAAACTTGTTTTATTGTTTTATCTAAGCCAGTGTATTGGTATTGAAATGTTTGGGATAACAGGATTTGTGCATCTTTTCTATTAATAAAATGACAGACTTTATATGAGCTTGTGTTGCCCAGGAGAGGACTGGGCAGTACAAGATGCACATTTCAGGGGGGAGGTCTGAGAGTGGGAATTTGATGGCATTGCTCTGCAGTGTAATTCAAGAGTGGCTGGCCACAGCACTCATAAAGTATAGCTGAGAGTAATTTTATATGCTGGAGGCTGTGTGTGGGCAGACCAGGAGTGATTGCTCTCGGAGCGAAGCAGTGTAAAAGGCCCCCCAGGCTGGAGAACTAAGGTGACACAGCTGTTCAACAGTCCAGATTGTACCCTGGGTAATGTCACGCAGCCCCACAAACCTGCCTGTGGTAGGCTCTGCCATCTGTGAGCCACGTGCCAGATTGAGCCTATGGGGCACCCTGGGTCAGGTGCCCCGTTGGAGAGGAACTGCTGTTGCTCTTGGGGTGAAGGATTCCCTGCTGCCACTGATAGGGAGGAAAAGGGGACCCTATCTCACTGCCTGCCTCTCTGGGACCCCCTGACACCATTACAAGTTATCTTATGTATTTGTATAGTTGATTAGAGGGTGACCGTTGCTGTGACATGTGGGCTTTCCATATTTAAATTAAAAACAAAAAATATGGGTCATTCAAATAGGGGACTCCATAAAATTGTGTACCGCCGTGCCTTGGTATGATGGTGGTGATGATGGGCGATCACTTGTTACCGAGTATGATCATCTTCCATGGGAGTTATGGGTCCTCAGGTGGCTAATAAGGCCAATTCTTGAACCACAAGCTCTATTGCAATGAGGGCAGATGTTTTCAGGCTCAGCAGGAGGCTGTTGACCATGACTGGAAGCCAGTGTCTCCTTCCTTCTGCGCCTCTTGTCCTCTTCAGCTTGTCGGCGAGCAAGTTCAAAATGCAGGGAACATCACATAGGACTTCACTCCATTAAGCGATCCTGGGCAAGTGTCTCCCAAGTGTCAATGTCAATATTACACTTTTTTAGGTTGTCCTTCAGTAAGTCCTTATAACGCTTCTGTTGTCCACCCACGTTACGGTACCCTTCTTTCAGCTGAGAGAATAGGACCTGTTTTGGGAGGCGATGGTCTGGCATCTGGACAACGTGACCAGTTCAGCGGAATTCCTGACAGATGATCATTGCCTCGATACTGGTGGTCTTTGCCTCTTCCAGGACGCTAATATTGGTGTGCCTGTCTTCCCATTTGATATTCAGAATCTTACGAAGGCAGCGTTGATGGTGCCTCTCAAGGACTTTCAAGTGGTGTCTAGAGGTTGTCCAAGTTTTGGACCTATACAACAGTATATCCTCTGGCAGACCAGGAACAGGATCTTCAGATGTGAATTCTCCCATGAGAAAGCCTGGCTATTGGTCTGGCAAGATCAATCCAGGAGCTGAGAGCAAAAGGGCTCAAGCAGATTTTAACTGTGTGCATATAATGACCTCCAAGACGTTAGAGGGAAAATGAGATCTTTGGTCCATTAGTGATTATCTCTGACAATTTGTGGAGGACAGGAGAGATCCCAGAAGACTGGAAAAAGGCAAATATAGTGGCTATCTATAAAAAGGGGAATGACAACCCAGGGAACTAGAGAGCAGTATGCTTAACTTTGATACCCAGAATGATCATAGAGCAAACAAACAATCAGTTTGTAAATACCTAGAAGATAATAAGTGATAAGCAACAGTCAACCTGGATTTGTCAAGAACCAATCATGTCAAAACAGCCTATATTCTTCTTTGACAGGGTAACAAGCCTTGTGAATGGGAGAAACAATAGATGTGCTATTTCATGATGTTAGTAAGGCTTTAGACATTCTCACATGACCTTTTTAAACCAGAGAAATATAGCCTTGCAAACCTACTAGAATGTGGGTTCACAACTAATTGGAACATCGTACTTGGAGAGTAGTTATCAATGGTTCACAGTTAAGCAGGAAGGGCATATTGAGCACACTCCTTCAGGGATTTGGTTCTATTCAATATCTTCATAAATGATTTGGATAATGGCCTAGAGCAGTGGTTCTCAACCAGGGGCCTGGGGGGGCTGCTAGCAGGTTCTGAGGGTCCACCAAGCATGGCCAGTGTTAGATTCACTGGGTCCCATGGCAGAAAGCTGAAGTCCTACTGCATGGGACTCAAGCCTGGGGCCCAGAGCCCTGCCACCCGGGGCTGAAGCCAAAGCCTGAGCAACTTAGCTTCGCAAGGGCCCCCGTGGCCTGGGGCCCCAGGCCATTGTTTTGCTTGCTACTCCCTAATGCCAGCCCTGGCTTTTATATGCAGAAAAACAATTGTTGTGGCACAGATGGGCCGTGGAGTTTTTATAGCATGTCGGGGAGCCTGAGAAAGAAAAAAGTTGAGAAGCCCTGGCCTAGCGTGTACACTTATAAAGTTTGCTAACACTACCAAACTGGGAGAGGTTCCAGTGTTCCCTTTAATTTTTCCCACTCATGTGCAGAAGGAATTTTATGTGTCGCAATATGGAGGTGCGGTGAGAGGACTCCCCCTAGCTCTCTCTCCCCACAGCAGCACCTGGACTGCGGGGGAGAGGTGCCTCTCCCTGCAGCAGCAGCTCCTGGGCTGGGGCTGCAGGATAGGCACCCCTCCCCCGGTCCCAGCAGGTCCAGGCCTGGGCTGGGTTTGGGCCAGGGGAGGGGCGTCCGGGCTGAACCGCTCCGTCTGCGCTGCTCTGGCTGGGCCGCTTCGGCTGCGCCTGGGTCTGGTCTGGGCCACAGCAGAGTTGAGGCTGGCAAAGGGGTGCCCTGGTCGCAGCAGGTTGGGGGCCGGGCTAGGTGGGGGCCGGGGGAGGGGCACCCCTCCCCCAGATGGTCCCCGGGTTGGTTCTCTGAGAGCCTGCGCGGTGCTAAATAGCTGTGCGGCCACGCAGCTTACAGGGAATTTAGGTTGCAAGTGCTTTGGAGGACAGGATTAGAATTCAAAATGATCTTGACAAAGTGGAGAAATGGTCTGAAACAAATAAGATGATATTCAGTAGGACAAATGAAAAGTACTACACTTAGGAATGAATAATGAATTTCACTAATGCAAAATGGGAAATGATTGCCTAGGAAACAGTACTGCAGAAAAGGCTCTGGGGGCTATAGGGGATTTCAAACTACATCTGAGCCAACAATGTAATACTACTGTAAAAAAAGTAAACATCAGTCTGGAATGTATTAGCTTGTGTTGTAAGGAAGACAAGAGAAGTACTTCTTCCACTTTACTCAGCACTGATAAGGCCTCAACTGCAGTACTGCATCCAGTTCTATGCACCACACTGTGAGAAAAATGTGGACAAACTGGAGAAAGTCCAGAGGAGAGCAACAAAAATGGTTAAAGGTCTAGAAAACATGACCTTTGAAGATAAGACTGAAAAATATTGGTTTGTTCAGTCTGGAGAAGAGAAGACTGATGGGGGACATGGTAATAGTCTTCAGGTATGTATATAGCAGCAATGGTGATTTAAGTTAGATATTAGGAAAACTTCCTAACTGTGAGGATACTTAAGCACAGGAACAAATTACCTAGCGAGTTTGTGGAATCTCTGTCATTGGAGGTTTTTAAGAAAAGGTTAGACAAACACCGGTCAGGGATGGTCTCGATCAGTGTTTCTCAACCTTTTTGATACCAGAGGCTGGCTTGCTGCCTTCTTAAACTGTGTTAGGGAAATCTCAGGGACTGGCGCTGCTCCATGGACTGGTCATTGAGAAACACTGGTCTAGATAATACTTAGTCCTGCCTCAGTGCAGGGGACTGGACTAGATGACGTATCGAGATCCCTTCCGGTCCTACATTTCTATGATTACAAACTCCCTCTCACCAAAATCTGTTGCTATCTAATCCAAACCAAAACTCTTATCAGCATCTTTGGAAAACCTTCCTTGCAGGTCTTGGCAAATCCTCATTTTGCAAACAGATAATGTAGGGATTATACGTGGGATGAGTTCTGACTGACTGGTGCCAAAGAAGCGAATGAGTGAAGAGTCCTGAAGTTCCTGACCCCCTGTTGGCGGAGGGCACGTGCCAAAAGCCTCTGGATCTTCATCCTAGGCCTGGAGTGTGTGTGAAGAACACCTGGAGCTGCAGAGGTAGGCCAAGGGGCAAAGGCAGATGTAGTACAGGGGTGGGAGGCAGAGTTGATGTGGGTCTGAGACAGTGGTGTAGGCACAATATGAATTAATGTGGGGCTGAGAGGGCACAAAATTGATGTGGGTGCATAATTAATTGATATGAGGCTGAGGAATTGGCAGATCCGAGCTGGGACACCGAATTAATTAGTATGTTGAAGGTGGTGGGCGGGTTGGGAACGCTGGAAGCTCCACATCAGCAGGCAGTACTTCATACACCATTTTTTGTAATGTGAACTCAGTAGGGTCTTCTAGCCAGAGCTCCTGCAGCAGGGGTCAAAACCTCCTCCTAGATATTTGTCAAGGTTGGCAACACTGCGAAATTCACACACAACGGTGGGGGTGGGCCAGGAGTGTTCACCAATCAGAAGACAGACTAAAAAACATGATTGCATCTTAAAAAGAATTGAGTGTTTTTTTGGGGTGTGACTCATGATCTTTGAAGTTCTGGAATTGGCAATACTGAGATTGTACAGTATTGAAATCTTCAATGCATGTAGTTGTAGAATACGTATGGTAGCATATTTCATTGTTTTCACATGTCTATATGGCGTTAAACTGGTTACAGCTATGAAATATGAATTAGTCTCATGAAACCTTAACTGCTTGTAGAAAAATTAACACACACTATTAAGAAGTTTTAAGTTGCAAAATTTAAACGGCATTTAAAATATTAGACTAACGCTTTGCCTATGAGGATTTTAAAGCACTTTAACAACCATTACATCCAATCACTTCTCCCATGGGAAAACCTGGGAGTAGGGCTAAGAAGTAGACGTCTCCAGGAGTTTTTCCTTGCAGTGATTTCTTCCCAATTATTCTCTTGAGAGAAGGAGCAGAATGGGGCTTGCCCAAAGGCTGTAGGTCTGGCTTACAAATCCTGCAGATTCTTTAGAATCCACATATATTCTAGGAAATCAATTGGAGGCCAGGCCCATCTAGGTGGAGGTCCTTGTGCCAGCTCTAAATCCCTGGCAATATTCCCTTCCACAGTGCCATGGCTGTGGAGCTCCAATAGGACTGCAGTGTTGGGGCTTCTCTAGCTGGTGGCTACTTCAGAATCCCTTGCATCATGGAAACTGTAAGAATAGAAATGTAATACTGCCTGGGTCTGTACTACATTTGTGGGAGAAGCTCTGTGGGGCTCATGGGAGAGTGATGCATGTCAGATTACCCTCTCCCCCTGTCCAGATACGCAGCCCTGAAAAGAGCTCTCCTGGGAAAGCTGAAATGCTTCTCCAGTGGTGGCTGACCTAGCTTTCTGTATGGGAGGCGGAGTTCTGTGCACAGAAAAGGGACTTTCTATGCAGATTAAAGAGAAAAATGATTAGGAATTAAATCATTCAACATTCACGTGGGATGGGTATTATCATTTTAATTGTATAGATGTTAAGTGAATTCCCTGAGATCACACAGTAAATCAGTGGCAAAGGCAAGAGAGCCCTCTGGATTATAAAATGTTCTCTTTTGATTTTGAAAAGCATACTGGTTTGTGGCTCAGAATTTACCCTTTCACTCTCCCTGTACAATAGCTGCTTTTTAAGTGGGATCCATACAAAAGAAACTTTTTATTCTTCTTCTAATTAGAACTGAGGAGTGGTTGCATAAAAAGCACAAGAACCTGATCCTGGTGCACATTGTAGTCAATTACAAAAGTCCTGTTGAGATGAATAGGTGCAGGATTGGACTTCTGTTTCAGAAATGTGCTGCTAGCTTGACACTGACATGCTACAATTACATAATTTAGAAAGACAGCAGCACAAAGTCAAAAGTTCACAAAATGGAAATGTAGGTCAAAATTGTTAGTAAAGAAAACACCATTCTCAGAGGACTTAAGTCACAAACCTGAGGGGGGAAAAATTAAGCCCAGATTCAGCAAAATACTTAAGCATGTCCATAATTTTAAGCATGGAGTAGTCACATTGACTCCATTCTTAAGTACATTAATAAAATCTGGTTGAACAAAGTGCTTGACATTGGCTTTTTGAAATGATTCCCATAACTGTGAAATTACTAGGTATCATCACTGTACAATAATATCTAGTACTTTTCCTTGAATTTTTGATGACAAACTCAGTGATATATACTTTTCAACGTCAGTGTATAATACACTGTGATTTTAATATATTTTTATATTGTCTTAAATATATTGTTTATATTTGTTTCTTTTTTAGGTGTAATTATGTGATCATCAGGCATCTATCTTCAGCAAAGGGGCAGCAAAATATACAGAAAGGCATGAAGTACAAGAAGTGGGCTGTAGTCCACGAAAGCTTATGCTCTAATAAATTTGTTAGTCTCTAAGGTTCCACAAGTACTCCTGTTCTTTTTACAGATTATACTGGCTCCAATGGTTTATTTGTGAAATTCACAGGGGAATCTTCAACATGTGTTAGACTGAGGTAAATAGAGTATAGTCACAATATATTTAAAAAACAACAACACGGAGTCCTTGTGGCACCTTAGAGTCTAACAAACCACAATTTTAGCCCATGCACGTCGGCGGAAGCACTCTATGTAGAAGTCCAATCTGTTTTTTCGACCTTCAGGAGGAGTCCACGTAGAATCCTTCTTTTTGTAGCGTTGCAAGGAAGGTTTGTTAGTCTCTAAGGTGCCACAAGGACTCTTTGTTGTTTTTGCTGATACGGACGAACACGTCTGCCGCGCTGGAAACTGTCACAATATGTTTAGTCAATAATGGCCTTTAGTTTAATTGTAGTATCAGTTAATTGTTGTTACACAGCATCCTCTGTTCAAGGATTATATTTATTTATTTATTTTTTACCTGTGATGGAAACTAAAGAGAAACAGAGAATGAAGGTGTTGGAAACTTACTGAACTTCAAGGGTCAGATTTTCAACTCTGAAAGGATGGAGGCGTACAATGATTGTACACCCATTTACTCGCCTCAAACTCTCATACGCACATGTATACAGGGGTCTAGATGTGCAAGTGCAAAATGCCTGTTTGGTGCACAGCAGTGTGTAAGGAAACAATTCTGGGGGCTGCTAAGTTCAAAAATGCAGCACTTAGAGGCAGCAAAGGGATGGATGGAAGTGCGGAGAAAGAATTTCCTTGGTTTCATCCCTGCCCCCAACTCCATCTCTTCAGTCATAAAATACAATCCCTGCCCTGCATAGCCAGATGGTCTCCTTCTGTTCTCACCATCCCTCCTGTTTCATCCCTCTTCAATTCCCTCCCCTCACTCCTCCTCGCCCCTCCCCAACCCCCCCTGCTCCCTCGCCCCTCCCCTCAGCTCTCCCTCCTGCCCCCTCCAGGCTCACTGTCCCTCCCCTCTGGCTCCCCGCGCGGTGGGGACGGGGTTACTAGCGAACAGCCCCCCATCCCCATGCCAGGATGAACCGGAAGTGTGTGCGCGCGTGAGGGGCGCCGGGGGGGGGGCGTCTGTCTGGCCCGGGTTCTGCGCCTGCGCGGTTGGGTGCCCGGTTGTTGCGCCGCGCCGCGCCGCGGTGGGTGTTTCTCTCTCTCTCTGGGCCCCCGGCCGGGTCTCGGCGGCGAGGCGGGGGCGAGGATGTGAAGATGGCGGAGCTGCAGATGCTGCTGGAGGAGGAAATCCCGGGCGGGCGCCGGGCCCTGTTCGACAGCTACACCAACCTGGAGCGGGTGGCCGAGTACTGCGAGACCAACTACATCCAGGTGCCGGCGGGACCGGGCGCTGCGAGCCCGCCTGGCCAGCGCGGCCGGGCCGGGGCCGCCTCTCCCGCTGGCTGAGGGGCGGGGGGGGGTTCTCCGGCCCGGCTCTCTGCCCGCGGGGGCGCAGCGCGGGGGGAGGGTTTGGTACCGCGCCGCCTCCGGAGGCAGGTTCACCTCCAGACAGTCCCCCCCACCCCCGGGGGCGACAGGGCGTCGGAGCGCTCCCTCGCTTCCCAAGCCCCTGCCGCGGCGCGCCCGCGGGTGCGTGTACCTTGGCGCCCACCGCCTCTCCCTGGTGCCCAGCCTGGGCCGGTTACAGCGGGGAGGCAGGCGGTGGGAAAGCTGGAGGGGTTTGACATCTAGCCGGTATATTGCGAAGTACCCACACTTCGCGTGTAGATAGACCCCTACGGGACCGGACACGGTAACGCTGGGGTGCAGCCTCCCCGCGCGCTGGGGGTGATTTTTTCCCCATCCGAGCTGATGTGGCCAACTGGGGAGGCAGCTGGCTAGTGGCGGGCGCCGGGGGAGCAGAGCTGGTCAGGGGTGTAGGGATGATATAGATGGGGGACGGGAGAGATGAAGCAGGAGCGGTATTACAGGGCGCAGCCTTGCTGTGATCTTAGATCAGATGCAACCACTTTCCGTCAGAATCATGGAGGAAGAAAGAAGCGAGAGATCGGTGGTCAGTTAGGTTGGCAGCAGTCACAGAGGCAGGAAGATGGGGTGACGGGGCTGGCTGTAGATATTGGTGGGGAGTAACGTGGGCCGAGTATGTGTGGAGAAAGGAGAATAGTTACTGACAGTAGTGGAGCATGGCAGGCGGCTATCAGAATGAGATCACTGTTGTGGGGCGAGGAGTATCCGCAAAATAGAGATGTATCCAGTGATGAGGGGGGAAGGTGGAATCAACAGCCTGGTATCTGTGGAGAATTTTACAGAACTCTCATCACTATAGTACTTTACAATCATTAAAAGAAGTGCCTGGGACCCCAGTTTCATATTCTCTGTCTCCCCCATATGGAAGCCGTTTTTGTGTGCTTCTTTCAGAATGGCACATAAGGATGATAATAGCTGTGGCCACTTTGAGATGTTGGTAGGATTACTGTATGATATAACCAGTGGGGAAAGAATAGTTAAAATAATGTCACTATAGAGGAGATTACACTGTTTAATTCACAGCATCCACATCATAGAATGACCAACCTTTTATTAGGAAAAAGATTTTATTTATTGATATTTTAAGTCATTTACAATAAAACATTTCAATTAGTGTGATGACACAGCTAAATACGTACCTGGTTACAAAATGAACAGTATTTAACAGCATGTTATATATCATTACCATTTCCCCTTTTTTCAAATTATTTAATCATGACTGTACTTTGATAATATGAATGTTTAAATATACATGTCACTTTTTAAAATCTATATTCTGAAGCTGACTGTCTTTTGGGTGGGTGGGGAGAGCCTCAAAGGCAGAGGAAGTGTTTTCCTGTGCAAGGTGTATCCATTTTTTTGAGAGTTTATCTGGCACTGTTCTCACAAAATGTTAAGTCCTGCAGTTTGTGCAGAAGGTGGTCAGGGTTGTGGTCATTCTTAGCTACGGTGGAGAATTATGCCTCCAAGAAGCCCTGTCTTCAGCTTCTACTTGTTCTGCCATGGTCTTCTAGAACAGTGGCTCTCAACCTTTCCAGATTACTGTACTCCTTTCAGGAGTCTGATTTGTCTTGCGTACCCCAAGTTTCACTCCACTTAGAAACTACTTGCTTACAAAAATAAAAAAGTCACACCGCATATTGTTACTGAAAAATTGCTTACTTTCTCATTTTTACCATATAATTATAAAATATTGTACTTACATGTCAGTGTATAGTATATAGAGCAGTATAAAGTCATTGTATGAAATTTTAGTTTGTACTGACTTTGCTAGTGCTTATTATGTAGCCTGTTGTAAAACTAGACAAATGTCTAAATGAATTGAAGTACTCCCTGGAAGACCTCTGCATACCTCTGGTTGAGAACCACTGTTCTAGAATTTCCTTGTGTGTTTGACTGCTGCAGTTTCAGGAGGTCTTTGTTATGGAGACCTTTGCGATATCTTAGGGTTAGGCCCAAGCTAAGTCTAAGATTTGAATGTGATCTAATATTGGATGGGTAGTGAGTACAGTGATTGGAACATGAAAGTGATATGCTCATATTGATCTCTTTGTCATCAGTTTGTCAGCAGTTTTGTGTACCAGTTGGTGATTTGTAGGGTCTGTGGTTTTATTCCGAAGTATAGAAATTGTTGTAAAAATGGGCGGATGTGTAGATCACCGTGAGAAGTCTGATAAGATTAATTTGCTAGTATCACTTAATAGAGAATTGGAAGTATACTGTTAACATACTTTGATTTTCTTAGCAACTTGAAAGGTGCTTCAAATATCTTCAGGTATCATCGAGATCTCTGCATGGGAATTGGTAGCTGGAGCAATTGCTGTAATTTGATAGGTTTCTTATGAAACTAGGTATTCAGATTGTACAACTTTGGGGGTCTTAAATGTCAAATATAGAAATCTGGCTAATCAGTCATACTTGATTTGTTTTATGAAGGGTCAGAGTTACTTCAGCACCATTTAAAAACAAAAACAGGTAAACCTTTCTTATGGTTAGTGTTCAACAAATAGGTAACCAGCCTTTCCTTGCATGTGCTAGTACAACACCCTAAACTCTTGTGATAGCAAATGATCAGATAAAATATCAAATGTATAGTAAGTAATTTAAATTCATTGCAAAAATAAGAGGAGAAAAAATGTGAAAGACCAGTGTTTTGGCAGAAAACAGCATTCTTCATTTATAGCTCTAGAAAAATGTTTGCTCTTCTTAAATTCTCCCACTGAGTCACTCTTTAGTACATCAGCCAATCAACTAATATGGTGACATGCTTTTCAGCAGCCATTAACTCTGCTGAACAGGAAAATAAATTGATACATGCTATGGAAAAATGAAATTTCCAGACCACACTCAAATAATTCAGACTTTTTTTTTAATATCTGACTTAAAGCAAAAATAGGCATAAGGTTACCCAGAGCAATAAATGAGTTTCTAAACTTAAATTCATAAACATAGCTATCAAAATATGCAGTCTTATACAGAAATGGAATACAAATAAACATTATTCAACAGACAAGACTTATTCCTAAAATAAAAATAAGTTGAGGGAAGCACATAGTAATGATCTCTGCGTTTTCTTTCAAAAAAGATATAATACAGCATGTACATGCATTTTTTTCAAACAACTTTGTTCAGAAGACTCTTTATCAGAGCTGTTAGGGTTTGCTAATCAGAGGCAGGAATCTAATGCTGGTTATTCATAGCCTCATCGTCTCATGCTCTGCAGATTATACCCAGTTCAGTGCTCAGTCTGTACCATGTTGTAAAGTTAACTTTATAGAAGAGTAGCTAATTTATGATCAAGAATTTAATTAACTATTCAGGGTCTCCATTTTCACAAAAACTATTTGCATAATACAGTGCTTTTGTATGGGTCTCTTATAAAAAGCAAAGAATGCTCAGACTGGTCAATAAACCACGATTGTATAATTGTGGTGTTCTAGAATTTTCTTTGCTGTTCCAAGAAATGTTGCACATGATGTGATTGCATATTTTTTCTAATCACACTTATTTGTATTACTAATGTACTAAAGTAAATCCTAGCATTATCTTGGCTTATCCATTTTTTGGAGGTTATACTACAGGTCTCTGTGAGAATAATCAACTATTATACTCTGTTCAGACCTTTTTTGGTTTAACCAGTAATCACTGCTTCTCTTAAAAAGCCTCTCATTTCATGCAGTGCATCTAGCTTCCAAAACTCATGAACTCTCAAATCTTTTAGCACGCTTTGAAAGTGAGTTGGAAAAATTACCAGATACATGCTGGCTAGAGGACTAAGCCTACTTGTCACAAGCAGATATAAAATATTAGAGTGGAGAGCGTCCGCCATTGAGGTCTGTGGTCAAGTGAAAAACCAGCATGCCACATCCAGTTTCTGGGATAGGTGCTGGGATTTCTACCAGCTGCTGTCCCTGGACCCTTCTGAAAGTCACTGTAATTCTTAGCCTTTGATGAATGTGATGCTCCACTCCTCTCTAGTTGCTGGAAAGGAAGAATGAGCTCCCTACCCCCCTGCCCCCCCCTTCAGAGCCTCCAGGTGGCTGTGGGAGGTGTGGGTTTCCAGTATTGTCCTGGCTTCTCCAGTCTCCTGGCTGTTGTGAGGAGAGGAATGGTCAGTAGGTCTCTACTACTTTCTTTCCTCTAGAGCCACTACTTTTCGAAGCCCTTCAGTGCCTACTCTCTGCTGGTGCAGGTAGGTTCCCTAAGCAGTAGGACTGTGAAATCAACATGATTCTTGACAGTTTTACCACTGCCCATAGGGATCTGAGTGGCACCATCGAAACTGACCAGAGTCGTTAACTTCACTCTGCTGTTTCTTGCCCAAACTGAATCACTGTTGAAAGATAGGAGCTGTCTATGGACTCTACAAGACAGTACTGCATTTCTTTATATTTGGAAGATTTTTCCACAACTGTAAGGGGTATAAACTTAGCTTTCATTGAAAAGAAAAGAAAAAGGTGCAGCAATAATTAATAGCCTTCTAGGCTCTTGTATTGAGAAGGGAAAGTTTCCTGCTCCTGGGTGGAATTTTCAAGCCTATTTCAGTTGCCTTCCCATTTGTTCTTAGCAACCCTACCTCATCATGGAACATAAACAAGGGATTTTACTGTATAAATAATGTTCAACAAACAAATACTCTACTGCAGTATTTGCAACCCAAACATTCTGTTCAGATTCTTCTTCTAACCTTACCCATCACTATACCATATTGTAGCTTGTGTTAGTACATGAGAAACTGACTATAGCCAGATCATTCTATTTTCAATGTCCAATCTAACAGAATTGCACAAAGTAAACAAACAGCACAAATAATGTAAAGTAAACAGGTTTATTAAACTTCCATT